GGCGGAGAAAGAATTGGGAAGAATCGCCTAATTTCTCATCTGATGAAGGGAGCATATAATTTGAAACCGCTAGAACCCAAATATAAAGAAAGCTATGATCTCGATCCGGTCCTAAATAAGCTTAAGAAGTTATCACCTATAAATTCATTGTCTCTCCCCCAGCTTAGCAGCAAATTAGCAATGTTGCTAGCTCTGGTTACGTCCCACCGTAAACAAACAATTCATTTGACCAAAATTAGTAATATTAAGTCAGTAGGGGATTCTTATGAGATCAGGATCCCAGATAGAGTAAAAAATTCGGGGCCTGGGGTCACTCAACCTCTTCTGATAATACCAAGGTTTGAAGAGCACCCAGAGTTATGTGCAGCAATGACTTTAGAAAAGTATTTAACCTCAACTAAAAAGGTCAGAGGTAACGAAGACCCCTTATTTATCACTTCTAGACAGCCTGACAAGGCTGCTTCTAAGGACACACTTAGTAGATGGCTTAGGTCTTTGTTGGCGGATAGCGGTTTAAGTCGGAAGTTGGCTCCGCATACTATCCGCCATGCGGCGACATCCGCAGAATTGAAAGAAGGTATCGATGTTTCTATTATTAAGAGTTTGGCCGGTTGGTCTCAAACCTCCAGGACATTTAATAAATTTTATAATCGTCCCATTGTCCACAATAAGAGAGATTTTGCCAAAGCGATTGTTAGAATATAAGAAAGAGAAAATAATTTTTATAAACAAAAACAGTTCTTAATGATATTACGATTGTAAGGATAATGTGAGCAAAGTTCTGTACTTGGGTTACACAGTTATGTTATGTTCAAGTTTCGAAATAAAGACAAGTTATTTCAATTGAAACGGGAATACTATAAACATCTACCAAGTGATCACGAGAATGACACACGAGGTATAATTGGACGATTAGGCGAGCACGACGCTTCGCCCAATATTTAAGTATGTAAGGAGCTGCGAAATACGTTATCCGCAAGTCTGCTATATTTGGAGAATATGCAGAAGTGCCAATGACAAAGAAGGGTGATGCGATGTAAGAGGATTTTTCCCGGGTCAACACCCCGGGATTCTCCTTAAACTATTCTGGCTGCCGCCTCTATCGTTCACGATTGGGCGCCAGCCAGGTTTTTCTGGAAAACCTGACGGAAAACCAGCCGCGAAGGAATTTCGTCAACTCCGCGGACTTTCGGTGGAGGGTCTCACAATGCCGAGCCAGCATCAGCATGACACGGTAGAGTGGGCGAGGGTCACCAACATACGAGTAACTTGTAACGAGCATCGGGGATGCCCGTTAGGATCCCCAAAAATGAGGGAGAGTGAGGAAATTAGGACATAGGTTAGGTTTAAGGAAAAACTAGGATTTCTCCCGTTTCGGGGTGGTTTAGAGTAGGTTAAGGGTGAGAGGAATTTTTAGAGGGTGATAGAGTAAGCCCTCAGGGCACAAACAGGGTAAAAATATTAACAACCCCAACGGATTGCCAAAGACTGATTACGGGTGGAAGGTCGTACGGGGTAGATTCAGTCACTACTCCTACGAATTGCCAAGACTGAATACCGGTGGAAGGGCGCTCGGGATAAAATCAGTCGTTATCCCGGCGGATTGCTAAATAAATTAAGGGTTAGTAAAATAAAATTAGGTTTAAGAATTAGGAATAAGGGTCTTTTAAATCCGAGAATCTCGGAGAACCGATCCGGAAAAAGGAATGAGGGCAATAGATAAATTTTCGGATTGGGCAATTAATTCAAATTTAAATTAATTCCCCCGCGAAGGGCTTGGCCCATAATAGGGTAGAGGGATCCACCAATCGACACGCGATCGATTGGTAGGCGTGATTAGGGGGTCAGCGCAACGCGACACTGACCTCCGAAAATCAGTCACGCATTAACCGCGAGAACATACGCACGTGAGTGATAGGTGAGGCTCCCAGGACGTGACGAGAGTGATACAGTGCACCACCCAGGACACCAGGACAATTAGCTGTAGCCAGGATGGTCCTGAAGAGAAAGAGGAAGGCAGCGAGAAAATCTACCGTGAGTTTTTACGGTTTTATTTAAAGATGTTTCCCCTATTGGCGGCTCCTCGATAATTATTGGCGGTTGTGAGATTTTTCCGAGCCATGGAAATGGCATCGGTTGTGTCCCCCAAATTTTGGGTGGTTTTGAAGCGGTTTGTGGAGGGTTTTTCCGAATAATTTCGGCTTGCATTATCCCCCAGTGCGATTGGGAGGTCATTGGTGTAAATTGTGGGACTTTGAGGGTATTTTTATGTCAGTTATGAGTGAAATTGTCCACGGCCAACGAACAAGGCCAGCGGATTTCCTTCGTGGTGCCATCGAGGCACCCATCGAGCGGCTACGTGCAACAGGTGGGGAATCGCGTGTTAAATTTCTTCGCGGTTATTAATTGCGTTAACGGGGCTAATTATGTACCCATACGCCTAAATTTTTGTGGGATTGTGGAGGATAAGGTCCCGAACCAGATGATTCAGGTTTTTCCGGAATCTGCTCAGCGGATTCCGAGTTCTCGAATTTTAATCGAAGTCAGATTTATTGTGTGAATTTCTCCTCGCTGCTAACCGAGCAGCGAGGCATAGTGCCGTCTCTCTCGCTCTCTCTCGTTCGCGCTCACTCGTTGAGGGTCCGATTCCGGGAAATTATCGATTTCCGGGCGAAAATAATATTTCGGTTATTTCTCGGATTCTCGCCGATCAATAATCATTGAGGCCGCATTCCGATGCGATTATTCTGTGTGAGTATGAGATAATCAACAAAATATGTCGTGTTTTGCTAAAAAATTTATGTTCACGGCGATTTAACGAGACAGTTGAAGTTGTATTCATCGTTCTGTGAGAAAATTCATATTTCGCGATAATTGAAGAGTACAATTAAGTTTATATTGGGGATTTCGTTGGGACGCTGATATTTAGAGAAAGTTAAAAATTGCTAATGAAATTTGGAAGCAGATTAGCCTTATAAAATTCTTTATCACTTATTATTATTCTACCGAATTTTTACATGAATAGCGGAACACGTAAGGACAATGTTTTGTTGCATTAATTTATTTCTCGCCTCCCCTTTCCTTTTTTTTTGGTATTTTTCCCAATTTTTGCAGTAACCTTGCACCCATCTACGATCCACCCCTCTCACCATAACTGGCAGACTGAGCGACCCCAGGACCGTCACCTTTCCCCAAAAACCTAATTATCCTTTCCGTTCCCTTCAGGTTTCCTTTTTGATTATAGAGTATATTTTTGAGTTAGAGCTTTAGGAGTTTGAGGTACGATTTTCGATACAATGAATTTCGAGGTTAGTTAAGTGTAGGATTAAGGACTTTTTCCGGTTTGTAATTCCGGACAAAAAATTACCTGGCGCCCATAAGGTTAAATTTTAGCAGGTTTTATTAGGCTCAGAGAAAGTAGGGCGAAGGTAATGGGAATTTTCCATTCCCCGGGAAAATGTCACGTTACAAACTTCAATCACTAACTTGAGCCGCGCTTACGGCGTCGTCATCGATATCTTTCGGGGGACGTATTCCCCACAACTCTCGTGGAGGGATGTGACCATCCCTCGCACGTGGTACTCTCTACACTGGGGTGGCTCAACCCCAGACGAGACACAGATTATCTGCGAATCCTTCTCACCCCGCAGGGCGCCGAACTCCTCAAGGCACATGCAACGCAGGTATCTGGAGACCTTTCTCACCCACCTAACGTCCACCCCAACTCGAGAGCTCGGTAATAGCAATCTCATCGCGAGTCAAAACCGGAGTTAATCCCCATGGAGGCGCGTGCGACTGGACCGACGGGAAACGACTGGCCTCCCAGCCCTTAGTCCACCCTAACACCATGGGTTTCGTCCTAGAGATGGATCCCTGTAGCCTCGGACTATAGTCCGTAGCCTCAAAGTCATCCATTTCACTGATCGGGGACGCATAAGTGTCCCCTTCTCTTGCTATTCCAAGATTCCTTGCAACCACGTGCCCCTCATAATCCCAGCAGAGATTATTGCCACCAACTGATCCCGAGCTCCTAAAACATCCGCTCGAGACCAGCACTCAACGCTAACAGCTCTCAAATCTCCCAGGGCCTTCTCCCCCTAGTTTGAGCATCTCAGCGACTGTGGGTCATCCGTTATCCCACAGCCACCAATCAACTCGACGGGATCCTGGGGGCGCTAGTCCTTTCACCTAGCTGTTGGTCCCTAGTCTAAGTCGACGGGGCCCTTCAGAACCCCCCAGTTGGAACGCCTGTACGTCGGCCCTGGACTCCCTGACACAGCTGGGTGGATTTCCGAATTGGGAAACAGCTATCGCCTGCGCCATCACAGTGTTCCGAAACATGGTCTCACCCTACCACGTTTCTTCCCACTGTGTGATTGGTCTAATTTACCTTCGGAGCGGCCCGATTGGCCGTCGTCCGATGTTTCTACTCATCTTCCGCTCGGCTATTTCAGCCGGCGTTAGATGTCGGTCATTTCGCCTAGTGACTTTCCTAGGGTTTTCTCTAGTAGTGAGAAAAATCGCGAAAACAGCGATTAGTACGTTGACGCAGTTATCGACGGAGTACAGAAAATGCGCCCTTGTGTAGAGAGACTTGTCAAATAGCACATGACAAGAAGTCGGAATTTAGTTGCAAGTTAAACCATTTATTTGATATTCCGCCTGAAATATAAGTGGTCTTGATGAAAAATGAAAAGGCAAGAGTTTTATTGGATCTTCACAAACGGCCAAACAGGGGTTTGTTGGTCCGAATTGATGATACAACAAATACTCCTCCATATGAAAGAGAGCTGTAGGAAGCACACGAAAAAGGTACAAGAGCATGAATGATAATTTTCTATTATTTTTCCTCAATTTTCTTTCTATAGACTATCCTCTTCGTTCTTCATTTCCAATCATCGACAACTCCGTATTCTTTCTCTAGCAATATGTTCTAGCCTTATTTCCATAATTATGTCTCATACATTTTATTAAATAGACCATTTTTTTTTATTTTGCAGTCAATCAGCAGAAGCAGAATTCTTGCGAATTATGGTAATTATAAGTAGGTTGAAGAGGAAGGTCTAGACGAACTATTCAAACAATTGGGCCAGTAAGGAACCCCTAGCGACGTTGAATTCAGTTTACAGCCCCGCAAGGCGAAAGAAAATTTTCGTCTGTCACCCAATCTCGCCGTTGCTTTGGATCGAGCTAAAGCCGGCGATCGTATGGCTGCATGAGTAAGAGCTGCTCTCATAACACTCGAAATATCTCTAATGTTCATTTGAGCCGACAAGCTCTCCGTCGAAACCGACTGATTCACCGTGAGACCCTTAGTCACATATTCAAAAGTAATGTCAAAAAAGGTGTTCGAGGTTTACCACTGTCCATTAGGATGGAAAACAATTACGGTCGATAAAGACCAAATTCGAAACAATGGATCGACTCCCTGTTCTGATATCGAGTATCGAAGGGTTTCAATTACTCGGAATTCCGATGCTGAAACGAGCAAGTGTTGAAGAACATGCAAATCTTATTTTCAAATCACTTAAGGAGTGAGAATCTGCTGACGATATCTGGGCCATGGTATCTGGTATCACTACCAGCAATAGGGGCAGTAAAAATGGCCCATATGTCCTACTGGAGCAATTGGTGGGAAAAAATCTTTTGCATCCGGCTTGCTGACGTCATGTCATAGAACTGCTATTGAAATCTGCTTTCGAAACTTCCATAGCACCGACGTCTGGACCCGATATTACCATTTTTGTACGATTTTGAGGACAGTTGAAGAACATTGAAAACGGCGAATTTTCACCTAGAGTGCAAGATTTACGAGCAGCAGTTAAAGATTAAGTAAAGAATGTACTTGCATTTCCTTATTGACTATTGACAGTACGTTATGAGGACACATTCACAGTATACACAATTATAAGGGAATCATTTTTCCACTTGATTAAAAAATATAATTGTGCTTTATTTGTTTTATCTCTTCATAGACTGACATCAGGAAAGATTTCACAGAGTTTCGGGAACTGGTTGTGATGATCTTGGGGGGAAATCTTCCGAATAGCAACCGGTTCCCAGCTTCGGATCCATCCACCTTGCTAGATAGATGGCGAAAGCAACTTAATCACCAAAATTCTTCCCATTTAAAAATCCATTCCATATGACATCTTATTAGACAGCACTTTTGAAGAATATTTGCATGTTCATCGTCCTTCTATACCAGAAAAGATGGCTCACATCATCAAATGCAATAGAGGCTCCCAAAAATGATTTCAATTTGTCGAAAAGATTGACGACTAATCATAGTTATGCATTATTACAAGTCTACAATGCTGTACTTGAGAAGTTTGGGAACTATCTCTGGGACTTATCAGAAGAATTGATCGCTTTCTCCATTTTTGATCAGAACTTGAGTCTAGGGTGCAAAAGAAGAATATGTGAAGCTTTGAAATCTTGTCCCGCACTGAAAAATAATCGAAAGAAAGGAAAATGAGCAGTGGAGGATCTAAAATTCATCCAAAAGTCTAAATTGTCTAAATTGTCTAAATTTTAAATTAAAGGCACCATTTTTTGGATGTCGATCCTATAAAGTGGAAAAATAGTGATGATTATATTGAGTCTTTGAACATTGTGAGATAACTTCTTGGTACAAATGATGTCGCTAAAAGAAATGTGGCTCTCATGAACGAATATAATGATTTTGTGACAGGAGTTTCGATTTTCCCTTCACGTCCCTGGAGGGTCCTAATGGAGGGTGTTATACTAAATAATTGTCGATGTTTACGATTTAATTGAATAGCGCGGGTTTGACGGCTGTTTCACCACCGAGTCAGCCGCCAAGGAGGTAGTCGACACTAGGGCTGCGCGCGTCTAATTACCGACTAGTTGCTATGCAACAGGTCGGAAAAAGGCCCATCGACCCTCGACGTTGGACCTTAGAGTCGTAAGGAGTAGGATATTTTCTGATTTAGCATACGAGGCAAGCTAAAATCCTCGAACTATTGTCCCGACAAAATATATCGTTACGTGTATTGAATGATGTGAAAATTATATTTTATTGAGTGTCATTGTCAATTATTAATAGAAAGAGTTGGTCTCAAAGAAGCTGTTAAATAAATATAATTGGAACTGTCGACAATTACTGTAAGTAAGCTTTGATTAACACTCTCGCCTTTACTTCTCCTCTCTCTCTCTCTCTGTCAATCTATACTTTGGGTCAACCAATTTCCACTCCTTAAGATAGCTGGGAAACGTTGTTAGTTCGCGTTAAACTAACTGGCGCCCGTTTTGGTAAATTGTTTGTTAAAATTATTGTTGAATCTCTTGAGCCCTAGCAGCCACTGACCCAGGCCGCGCTAGGTGGGGGCCTTTCGTCTTGTGTTTTGCGTTTATAAAATTGTCGATAACTATTTAATTAAAATACCCCAATAAGCTTTTACATAAAACAAAAGGTCCTGTCTCAATTTATTCACCAACAATGAGGATAGTAAGCAAAAGTGATGCTATTTCTAACCAAATTTCGGGAACTATCACCTGCGTACACAAGAGGAACTCTAAAGTTTTCGTTAGAAAAATATTCAAATAATTAATAGATGAAGATGGTGGATAATCTTCAATAACTCCCTGAAAAATTTTAATGCATCCAACACCTTCGATGGCGTCTTGTTTCAGGAAGGATATAAAGAAATTCTTCATATCTACTATTTGAGGATGAGTAATTAACAAAAATTGTGAAAATGTAAAATAATCGTCGGGAATGAGCTATTTGTATCATTCAAATTTTGATGGAATTCTTGTGAACTGATCCCTTCAACGAGGTAAATTTTATAATGAGAAGGGGAACAATAACAATGCTTTCATTTCAGAAATAAATACATATGCTGGAAAGAGTCGAATATCAAGAAAGGTCAGCCTCTGCCTAGAAATGGTCAACGTAGCAGGCTAAATTTTTTTGACTGGTTTTATGACCGTTGCAAAAGCACCGAATAAGTCTAGCACTTGTGTCTACACAGATATTGGTCAATTGTCGTCTGCATCTTTCTTGGCATTGAATTTGTTGAAACATTTGTGTTTTCCTCTAAGTCGTAGTGACGAAATTGGACAATCATCTAATCAAATCAAAATTGAAAGCGAATGGTCGGGACACGTGGTATATATGTCTAAAAACTCCAGAATCAAGCGGAAAATTAAATTTTAATTTCGAAAAGTAAAAATTACTAAATTAAAAAAAAATCGGTCATATTCTTTGTCTTTCTGTTAGTAAGTCTACCCAATTTGATGCCGCTAAAAAACGTGGTTGGACAGATGTAGAACGTTTTTTAAACTTCAAAAAATTCACATGAGTTGATGAGTTGTTTAGCCGTCTTTTTCAAAAATCGAAACCATAAAATTTATTCTTCTTTTGCCGCCTGCCTAATAGACGTTAGGCAAGAATTGCAAAACCCAAAATTAAAAGCGTTATTCATAAAAACTATAAAGCTAGTCAAAGCAGTCTGTGCAATTCCTTTGAGCCTCTTGTTGAATCTTTCGTAGGAAAAGCAGGACCCGATATTAAAGCATTCTCTGCTTATAGCACTCGACACGCCACAGTGTTTGCTGCTCATCAAAGAGGCGTTGACATTATTGTTACTAAACGTACTGCTGGATGGTCCAGCGGCTCTGAAATAATTTGCAGGTCCTATGATACGCTAGTCAGCTTGGCAATGACCAATTTGAGTGTACAATCTCGGGTACAATGTCTGTTGACTCTTTAAGCACTGAAAAGCTGTATTCTCTGTTATGAAAAATAATAATAGATTAATATATAATGTCATTTTCTAAAAAATGCATTATCTCAAATTATCACAGTATTGGGGACACAGGGTCACTAGATGGATCAATATATCGAATAAAAGGTGAACCCTTCAGGCGAGTTGACCGCAACTAGGCACGATAGGTAGTGTCTGGAAAAGACAGGATCCTATAAGTCTCACTTAGTTGGGCCTATTTCGTGGGAGCAGGGAGTGAAGTACACAATGGTTGTGAAATCAGAAATTAGCATGCAACGAGCATCATGCCCTTAAGTTGCTCTTCGAATAGATATCAAATTCATTACACTTCATTTATAATACAAAAAAGTGAAAAATTCAAGAAAAAACCGGGGATAGAAGTAGGAAAAGTCGTAGGAAAGGATAGGAAAAATGATGTTTGTGTATTTCTTTACCTGCGGTGGCAGAAAAGCTGTAGTGGATTCCGGAAAACCGAAAAAGTATGCTAGATCCTCCAGTTCCAATGAGGTCGAATGTGATCAAACACGTGATGCTAGCGCTAATGAAGATGGTGACGATCACTCTGACGTTGTTGCTGATGATGACACAGCTGTCCACTCAGGGTGGACTTAATTATCTGGTAACTTTGTGTTGCTTGGTGTGGAGCGTCCCTGAACTGGATGCTTGTGATGAACTCAGTTGGCTTTGCTTAGTGTAGAACAGGCATGGGCAAAGTCGGAGTCTCGGGAGCCGGGGCCATAAAACCCCATTATTAAAAATACAATACCCCAATTGCGTGAAGCCCAGCGTAGGCAGGGTGGGAGTAGCAGCGTGTACGTAGTGGGGCACAGTTAGACAGAGAGAGCACCGCGCGCTTTCCTTTCAAATTTAAAAAACCTTACCGGCTAAAAATTCAAACAAATTTTCACCAATTCAACGTGGAAAATCCTCAGTTGTATCAGGGGTAATTCTTCAAACATCATGGTGCCAGAAATTGATTATTCCTTGGTTACCGTAATATTGAATAATTATTGTAGTAAAAATTGAAAAAAAATGAGATGTCAGTTCTTTAAAATTCAATCAATAAATTATGTATGTAAGTTTCAGAAGTTTATAGGTTTGTTAATATTTATAGGTCTTGCCCACTCTTGGCCAGCAGTAGTAAGTGGCCAGTATTGGGGAATTTCCCACGCTCCCTCCCCCCTTTTTTCCAGGAAATGGACGTGCACGTGCAGGTAT